AGAAAGTATTTTATTGGGCGTTGAAAATGACAATAGCCTGATTGATTTTCCAAACATTACTGCAAATATTTTCATTAATTTGCCTTATTTGGTATCTAAATAAAAATTTTAAATCATCAAAATTTTATGGTTTTTCCACTTTTGGTTTTAAATAATCCCCAGAGGAAAAAGCCAGAGTCTTGGTATCTGGAGATCTTACTACCAATCTACCAACCGTCTATCCGCCCGTCGAGCAAAATGAGGCGGAGCACCATCCTGCTGAAACCAAATTTCTCTATCTGACATACCAGGCTGATTTGGATTTCAGGAAGAAACTGAGAGAACAGGAATTAATGTCATTTTTAAGAGATTGTAGAAGAAATTGCGAGATCAGAAATTAAGGACATTCTTATGAGAATTTAAACATCGGGTTCCAATAAGATTTTGATAGAAGAAATAAGGTTCAATTCAAAATCTCTGCAACATTTATTTTTTGTGAATGCTGCTTATGATTTTCTCTCATCCATCGGGATTATTTGTACTCTAATACCAACAATTTTGTTAATTTACCTTACCATTCAAATAAAATATCGCTTAATCACTAAACAGTATCTGACGATGTTATTAAATACATCGACAATTATTCCTTTACTAATTTCATTATTTGAAGCTATTTCAGAAGATGCACGAAGAAGATTATCCTCAACTTCTAATAAAATGTTTAACCTTGTGTTCTCAGTTTTTGGAAGACATAGCTGTACACTAAAAGATCGCCTGTTTCCTGTTTCTATAAATTTTCTCTTGATTTAGAATAATGATAAAAAAAATGTCTTTAATTAATTAAATTTATTCCAAAATTACAATTTCTAAATCATCAAAGTGCTTCACTGAGGCGAAGTCTAGCTTTAAAGACAAAGACAGAAGTACACACACACACACGCACACACACACACACACACACACACAAATTTTTACTCTACATGAAGTATACCTTGATTAATTTTTAAACCAGAAAGTTTGTATTTTTTAAATTTTATTTTAAACGTTTTTTAATCTTCTTGCAGCGAATTTTACAAAATACTTGCATTATAGACATAGCTTTTCTTAAACAGTTTGTAGTATGATATTTAGGAATTCAAAAAACACTATGATTTCTTACATTACTACTTCAACTGATGACTTAAGTGAAACTACCTGTTATAAGCTGATGAGTAAAATTTCCCAAATGGAGAGTCCTTCGCTTTTCCATTTCTAACCAACACAATTCTTTTATTTTTTCTGTGGATCTTAGAATGGATCTTTCTAGATAGTTGCGATAAACAAATTACGAACTTCTTCTGGAATTCTCGTTTTGATACATATGTACTTGTGATAATTTCAGCATTTTACTGGTACTTGCTACTTATCTGTTTGCTAATAAAATGAATTATGCGTGAAATTTGACACAGAATTAGAAAAATGGTTTAAAATATGGTACTTCCATTTAAAAAAGGAACGTGGTATCCAGGTCTGCTTTTGGACACACCCCGTGTATTTTCTGTTTACTGCAAAAAATAAGCTAATAATATAATAAACTAACCAAAACAATATGCGAATATATTTCTTGAAATCCGATATTTTAGCTGTTCGCAGTATATTTACGAATCAAAATACATATACAAAAATTCAGTTATTTTATGTAAATTTGAGTAAATCCATACGTCAAGCAAAAAAATAGATTAAAAAGATTTATGAAGTTGTGAGTTAGGGAATAATTTGCGAGTTTGGTGCGTAACAAATTAGCACAAGATACTAAACCCCCTATATTTACCCTCGTACCTATACGCGCTCCCCATTCGTTCTTACGTACAGGTATCAGTTTTAATAGATTCACGGGATCTCCCTACCATCGTCCCGGATAAATTCAGTTGCTCGAAGGGGATTATTTAATAACGCGAAATAATTTGCTATCAAACGGAAACTGATATATTAAAAGTGTGTTGCCTTAGACGTGTAATTTTCTACACGCTTAACATCTCTAATTTTCGGCGCGTCTCGAACGTCATAAAACCAATTTCGTTAAATGAGGTGTTACAAATTTTACCAGTCACTTCAATAATATCCACGAATGGCAAGTAAATAAACCACGATTGCTAATTATTTTAATGTGAGTTTATTTAGTTGTTGCCGCTTCTCGGGTATCGTTTTTGATACTTTTCGGTAAACCAATCCAAACTCGATCTACGGCAACTGTTTTCTCGACCGCCAGGATAAACAACGCCTCCGACTTCTTTCATTTTCCCGATTCTCTATGTCGCTAGCGTCGGCCCGCAGTTATTCAAGTCTCCATAGATTTTAATGCTCGCCATTTTCACCCCTGAGCTCATTCTAAACCTGTTATCTTAAACCAACCCCTCAGGAATCCGGACCCGTCTGGGAGTACAAACCCAATAAAACCCTAGATATATATGTTGTCGGTAACGCGTCTCGCGCAAGATTGGTTTCTACGGGGGACGAACCAATAATTCGGGGTTTTATTGAGCGAGTTTCACGGGCAACAGTTTTTTAAAAATACGATTGCTCAAACGGTCCTAGCTTAGAGCTTTCTACGTTCAACAATCGCATTATGCCCATGTTCAGTTATTGACTGTTGTTCTAAAAGTTCAGATTTGCTTTTTTTTTAAGTTGATAAAAATGTATTATTACGTATAATCATTAATATTAAATAATTAGAAATAAAACAAATCAAAAAATCTGATAATAGTACAATTCACGACAATCAAGAAATGGCAAAATACTTTAATGATAACCTTTGTAATATCGGTGAAAACATTAAAATGGGCAGCGAATCTAATTTTGAAGAAATTATTGTTGAAAAAATTAAGTTTAACTCTACAGATACAACTGAACTACTAGAAGCAATAAAGTCACTAAACCCTAGAAAAATACCGGGATTAGTTGGTCTAATATCAGAAATTCCAAAAGAAATGTCAGAATATATCAAAGAAGCTCTCACTCACTTAATAAACCAATCTATTAAAAATGGACATTTTACAGAATTATTTAAAAAAGCTATAGTTAAACGCTTGTTCAAAACAAGTGAAAAATCAAACGTTTCCAATCTCGAACCTCGAATCTCATAATATTTTATCGGAAGAGCAATATGGTTTCAGGCAGGCAAGGTCGATCGAGGACGCATTGGCGGACTTCACTTGAACAGTATACAATTCATTGATAAAAGTGTTAAATCCCTCTCCGTTTTCATTGATCTTGCAAAAGCATTTGATACCATCTCTCACTCATTGCTGATCAAAAACTTGAAAACATTGGCTCTTCAGGAGCAGATTTAGAATTACTGAAAAGCTACATTTGTCATAGAAGACAGTCCGTGAAAATAAATGGTGTTCTGAGCGGTCCTTCAGAATTGACCTGTGGAGTTGCCCAAGGAACTGTACTGTACTCTTTTTAACTAAGGTGCTCGATGGGGCATGCGCTATTGCATTTGCAGACGATGCTAGTTGAATACATTTAATAACAACAAACTTAGCATAAGCTCTACAAAAACGATACTTATGCCTTCTAATTGTTATAGCAATATGATACTCTTAAATTTAAAGTAAACTCGAGTAGCTTTGACATCCAAACTTGTAATAAATTTAAGTATCTTAGAGTAATTTTTGATAGTCATTTATGATGGGAACACCACTCCGAATATATCACAAATAAACTTAGATCACTTACACCAATTTTCAGATTTTGCACAAAAATTTTAGAATTATGCCAACTTAATAGCTTGTACTATACGCCCACCAAATCGCATTTAAATTAGGGAATTTTAGTATGGGGTGGGTTGACAAAAAAATATTTAGAGGGAATTAACATTTCACAAAAATTTTAGAAATTATTTATAAAAGGGATAAGTGTTATCCAACAAGACAAATTTTTCAGGTATGCTCGCAAAAATAATAGGATTGCTTAATAGTCGAACACTTTCGTTATGTATAAAAAGATTAATAACATTTATTATGAAATGAAATACTTTGAGATGATACTTTGAGATGAAATCCATAGTATAATATATTCGAAAAATAACTAATAACTAATTTATCCATTATTTGCTTATGATTCGTTTTTAGTTTTTGTATCTACATTTACTCTGTATGCTTACTATGTTGAAATTAGTAATTTAAGAATTATTAGTTATTTACTAGAAACAAAATACAGAATTATTAATGTTTTTTCTTTTCTTTTTCCAATATTCTTTCTTTTTTTTTTGGTTCCTCTACCAAGGTAGAGTTTAAAGTTGTCCAAATAGTTTATAGTTTAGCTAATAATATTCATTATGTACAGTATTTTTTCCACCTGCGAGGTAATTCGTGTGGAATGAAAACTCTATTTATTGTCTTCGTGGGATGTATTGCACTTGTCTTATAACATTGTATTTATATTTATTTATTTGACGTTTTATTATTTCATTTAAAAAAAAATAAGTTACAGATAAGACTAAAACAAACAATTAAAATTTAGCACTTTTTTTATTGAACACCTTGTTTGCAGAGTATTCAGACGAACATGATATAAATGTCGAGAGATACAGGCTCGCTTAAACGGTAGGAAAGTAGTGTATATATATGCCAAAAAATAATCTAGCTTTGTTTTATTTTAAATTAATACCATTACTTAGATGCAGAGTGAAAAGGAAAAGGTCCATATTTGAAAAACCACAATTTTCAGGATATGGCTAAAAGGATACGGCGATGCCAAAAGGGCATAGAAAAAAGGCCGATCACTTTCGTTTTTCTTATGGGCCCCATATTGAATTTCTACATATTTAAATTCCTCTCTAAAAATGCTCTTGAACCATGTTTAGTCAAGATAAATCCCGAAAAATAACAAAAATAAGATTTCAGGATAGTAGGCTTTGATATTGGTATTCAGCTTTATAACACATTTTAATAATGAGTGGACCAGAAAGGAGTCAATAAAATTGAAGATAGAGGCTCGAGAAAAGAAGTCAGTAACACTTTCATACATACCTTTGAGTAATATTCAAATAATCCGCCGTTTTGTTGCTTGCATAACATAAATCTTCTCAACACCGCTTCACAGAACTGTTAACCGCTTCGTAACAGCTTCTCCTAACTCTCCAACGTTTCCATTGGACCTACTGTATGAAGTGATTTTGATCTGATTGGTTCCAGGTTGCCTATCCACCTGTCGCGATGTTCGTAATAATCTGTGCATTGTGTGGCCGTGCGCCATTCTTTTGAAAAAACTTTTGTTGCAGAGGGCTAGTGGAAGGTTCATAAGATCTCCTCTTAGGTTTGTTCCTACAACGTTTAAATATCTGTCAGAATTTAAGTTATCATCGAAAAAATGTAGCCCAGTTTTGTACGTACCCAAAATACCAAAGCCAACGTTAAATCAACAACTCACTCGATGCCTAACTTCACTTGCTAGCCGTGGATTTACATCTGGCCAACGGACTTTTAAGAAAAAGTTTGGTATCTCGATATTTCTTTGAATAGACCACTGGCACAATGCCTTCCTTATAACAGTATCGTCATGGTGAAATATCTGGCAAGGCCGTTCACGATAACCATGAAATCTGTCGATCATGCTTTGCAATACAAAATGTTCTTAATTTCCATCGATCTTTTGATCCTTTTAACGTTAGCAAAACTAACTCCCGCAGATGACAAGCTTGACTTTTAGATGCCTAAATATAGCTCTACCAATGTTTAACGTCTTTCAGGATATTTATTTAAATGCATTTCTGCGGATTTTGTATCATTTCTACCGCAAAAAATTAACCAACGTGTCATAACTTAAATAATTTATTTTATAACTCACAATTAATAGATACGAAAAAAGTTTCGTACAAAAGTATCTTAGACTCTCCTGAAGATTTAAAATATTATAATTTCGTTGATCATCTCTGTTATTTTAAAGGACACTTTCTTAAGAAATTCCTATTGGAATTTTGCATAGTTTAGGTAGAAATTGAGGTTGTGTTTTTTCATATTTTGATTGCCCCTTATAAAATTGGGTTGTGACTCTATTGATCCAGATATTGAAAAGATAATTTAACCACAGATTAAGGAGATGATGCACTACTCAATCAGCTTGACAGATGCGCCTCAGTTTATACAGGGAGTCCCAAATATGTGGTGCCGTTTTGGAGAATTCAATTAACAAAATCTGAAGATTTTCAGATATTTTTATTCAGATATCTATTCTCTGACAAAAAATAGGGTCAGTTTGTAATTTATCTTATATTTAAATTTTACTTACTTTTTGAGATATTCGAGGTTTAAGATAACACCGGTATAAATTCTTGATGAATTTAAAGCTGCCCACATTAAGTCACTTGTTGGCAATATTAGATATTTTTTAAATAGCAAAGACATGATGATTAAATAAAAAATTAGTTTAGTTTTGTATGCCTAAACTTAACTGCTCAAAAAACATGAAGAGAAAGTGGATTTTTTTTTCAAAAACAAAGCAATAAGATACGAAAGGAAGTCTAGAATCAAAAAAGATATGTAATCTGAAACGTATAATATAGGTATACAGGTTAAAAAAAAGTCAGTTTTATCTTAACTCGGTCCAGCAATCACTCCTTAAAAGAAGTATCAACTAAGCAATCGCCATAATTTATATTTTATTAAACTATATTTCTTATACTTTATTTATATTACATTTACGTCCTATTTTTTTGAAAAAACATAATATCTACTTACCAAATATTAATCTGGCCAATTTCAATTTGGAAAATTTCTCCTTTTTATTCATGCCCAACAAATTAAATTTCATTGCAAGTTCATTTGAAATCAGGGGGGTCAGAGCTTGTTTTACAAACTCACAACTGCTGCCGCCGCCTGATCTTGCTATCTCATTGACCTAGCAAAATAATAAAAAACAAGGCATGACGATGGTAGACACAACAATGGTTCGTTCTGGTTAGAATTTATCGAATCTTATATTACACATAAATTATTTGTTCTTCAATAATAATAATACCACAAAAAATAACTGTAATGAAAGTACTGAAAGCAGGAAGCACAGCACACAAAATACTCAAAATATAAGCCAAGTCGCCGTATACCGAATGCCGAAAGAAAAACAATGTTGAAAAGATGGCGAACGACGAGACGGAGAAGCCGTCGAGACTCGAGCGAGTCTGGCACGGCACGACCGCGAGTAGTTGCGTCATTAGTTGAAACAGTGTTGTCAAATGGGATCTTATAAACCAATATATTATTTTTACGTTTTTGTAATTTTTTTACTTAGATGAATCCTTAGTTTCTGTGGTATTTTTTATTAAAAAAGCGTTTCTTGTTTCGTTCGTGTCCGAAAATAATAAAAACATGTTGATTTTAAAGGTTTGATTCCGTTTTTTTTAGGACTTGCCAACACTGACGTCGATGTAGATGTGCACAAAAAAGTTGCCAATAAAATGTCTCCCAAAACACCACAAATCTAAAAAAACAAGTATTTTCCTTCTCAGTTGTTCAAAATTTAACTTATTAGGTTTCATTTTGTTTAGGAGTTATCCTCAGGCCATCTATTTAGAGCAAGCTATCCATTCCAAGGATAACCCTGGGTTTTATTTTACAGTATATTTTTGGTATATATGCTAACGTATATCCTAAGAATATCCTCGACATATCTCGGGACATGCGACTTAAATGGGACATTGACCGGATATACTGGGGATATTTTAAGTGTACGACAAATGTCCCAATATTACTAAGAGTTCTGTGAATAATATTTTGCTATACATCCTTGTCTTATACTACTTCATTTATGAAAATATTTACAAAATGAGATCAACATTTTGTGAATGCGCATAAGAAAGAACTTTTGCGCAAGATGATTTTTTCGAATATATGTTATTTACAAATGAATCGACATTCCAGAAAAACGATTGTGTTAATATGCAACATTTTCACTATTATGCTAATAATAAACCCCATTTTATGATGATGAAAATGGACGTCGTAAGGCCTATTTTTTTGAAAATACAGTAATTGGGCAAGTTTACATATCAAGTTACGAATTACTTAAATAATTTATTTCCTCAAGGGTGGATAGAAAGAGATGGTCCGATTAGATGGGCACCTACATATCCTGATTTAACCAAGAATGACTATTTTCTGTGGGGATATGTTAAAGATAAGGAATATAAAACCGCCCCCAAAGCAAATGAGGATGAAACAGATGATAAGAGAAGTATTTTAAAGTGTTAGTCATGAAATGCTAGCCAATACTGCTCAATCGTTTAGGGATCGTGTTAGAGCATATATCGAAATCGCTGAGAGAAATTTGGAACAATAAATAAAGTGAAACTTAATTAAACCGTTCTTTTTTGTTATGCTCTTTTTTGCATTTAAAATATTGGTAAGTAGCGTTTTCAAGGCGTCGGAGATTTTTTCGTATGATATATTGGAATTTTATTAGGTCTCTCTCACATGTCGGCACTTGCACTGAGGCTGAAACGTCAAAGAGTTTTAATTAGTTTTGCTTGTTGGCGCCACGCACTTAAAGTCACGTTTTCAAAACGAAAGTTTACCTCCGACTTCCTGCTTACCACAGATTGATTTAATTCCATAGCGAAAATTGTTTCAATGGATGGTTAATAACATAAAATCGAATTAGGTTGTTACGAGACAGGCTTGAACTTACAACGAATTTATATGTTATCCATGGAAATGATTTATTGTTATCCCACAAATATCCACGAGTAAACGATCATCTTTTTTTAACTTGTTAAACAGTAGATAATTTTGCGCAATTTCTCTAATATTGTACTATATAGCTTGTCGATTTAGATAAGAAAAAGGGACGGAACCTATAAATTATTTATAAAAAATAACGTATCGATCTTGATTGTATTTTTGTAGATGCACAGTGCGGTCGTAACGGGAGTATATTAACAGAAAAAAACCTGTTCCTATACTAGATAGAGCAAAATCGACTTACGTGTCAGGAGATTGATATCTTCCATGCCAACCTTCCTGTTGGAACTTCTTCCGGATCTATAATAATAATAATAATAATAAACTGATTTTATTAATAATCAAGATATTACATTATAAATTGAAATACAAGAGTGGCGGCATTCACAAATTGCGTTCTTGCATGGAACCTCAAAAACATAGAAAATGGATTAAATAAAAAAAATATCAAATAAATTATCGCAAAATTTATATCCATAAAATTTACTATTATTTCATAGCACTATTGTTATTACGAAAGTATACACCCATATATACATCGTAAATAGAAGAAATATCCGCACATCATAAACTTATACGCTTTTGCTGGTTGGCCTAATAAACAATATATATGCTTGTTTCAAGAGCTTTATTGTGGGGAGGCAGGTTATAACATAAGGTTTTTCATTGAATATTTTTTTGATATTGTAGCCGAAAAATATCTGGAAATTTACCGAAGTGTAATAACTCAATATCTCAAACAATGGCGGGTGTCTCGATTCTGAATATCACTTCCTCTGCAAAGTTTATCATACAAGTATGATGGAGTCTTGTTAGAGTTTAGAAAAAAAAACAAAGGTGGCCGACTGGACTTCACAACGCTCGTCCAGCTTGAGATGTTGGAGATACGGAGATTATAGCTAAAACGAATACAAGCTGAAGTCATAGATGGTACTATAGCAAAAGGTGACATGTGATAATACCAACAAATCAGAGAGTTTAAACGTCCGAAGAAAAAAAGATTCTCTGATCTGAACATTTAGCAAAATCTTAAAATGAGCGTTTCTTACAATTTCTTCACTTTTAGCTCCAAATAAAAACATCTACGTTTTGGTGGTATTCAATAAGATGTCATAAGTCGCAGACACCTCAAAAATTATTTTCAAATCCAAATTCATTTTAGTAGCAGCATTTAAAGCTTAACTAGCAAGAAAATATAAGATATAACTGAGTATCATCGGCGTTTTGATGAAAACTTCAAAATTTAGGAAAAATAGAGAAGTATTGAATCTGAATGAGTATTTTCTATTTCCTCTTTGGTGTTTTCGGCAGACAACATTTTTTAAAATCACATTTGACATGACGTTTTATCCCAAAGTATTTCAGTTTAGCTCACTGAAGGGAGTGATCAAGGGTGTCCAACGCTTTACTATCGTCCAAGAGTATGAGACAAGATCTGCTCTCAACATTCATCAGTAACATGAAACAAAGCAGAAGTGTGCTTCAATTTTTTCAACAAACTTTGATACGGTGGGCAAAAAACTGATTGGTCTAAAATCATATGCAACACTTGGACACTATTTCTTTGGGACGGGTATAACTTCAGCTTGTTTCCGAGAGTTATGATCATGATATTATTTATTTTGGAATACTGGAGTGTTTCAAGTGAGTAAACTTATATAATGCCAAACTAGCGTTTCTGGACGATGCTGCATCAATCACGAAATTTTTAAATACAAAAGTTATTCCCAAACTGAACAAAAATGTCTTATACGTAGACAAATAAAAGCGCTGCTGACACTAACTTCCAGTTTTTTAAAAAACAAAGGCTACTTCATTTTTAGTCGACTCATTATCTCCGTGAAATGGAGGTGCTATCTGCTGCTACCGTACGTGTCATAAAGTGTCTTATTTAATACACTGAAAATTGAGACTTTGGATGGTAATTATGGTTTATTGGTTTATGGTTTATGGTAGTACCCAATTTCCGGCAAAAGAATGATGTTTTTGGAACATTTCCCTTGTTAGAAGAATTCACAAATCTTCTTGAAACGTGGTGTTCAAGCCATAGGATGAAAATATTTAAAGGCCAGTAAATATCTTGATTAAGAAATTTAGTGCAATTTAAAATCTTAAATCAGTTTACAATACTGAGAAACTAAAAAAACAATATTAGTTTCTCTATGAACAGACAAGATATAAATTGTGTTTGCATTTGTATGGTTTAAAATTTATGTTTAAAATCGGAGGAAACGAGAATCAAAATCAAAATTAATATTTTTTATACCAATATCTGATGAGTTTAAACGTAAAAATATTAAGGAATTAAAAATTTAAATAGCAAGGTGATTTTCAATATTTTATTTTGAAGCAACGAATTTTCTATACCAAAAGGGCTTCAGTATTATTGTTTGCAGTGCGAGTCTAGAGACACGAATTCACTTTGAGTTTGTGTTATGTCGTCATGCTGCATTTTGTTTACCGGTTTTTAATAATTTTATGTAAGCTTAATATTTTGTTTTCATGTTTCAAGTTTTCAACTAAAAGGTCAAGGTTAACAAGCGATTTGGGATTATTAGTGCTGCTTGTACACAGAAATTTGAAAGTGAACACCTGTTAGAACCTAGCTGACGTTGCCTTATAGGCACGTAATAAAACAAACAAAACTCAAATAACCAAACTGACTCGAACATTTTTTTTAGAACAGAATATAGATGGAGCAGATATTCTAGTATATCTGTCAGAAGATCAAATCGATGATCTATTCAAAGATATTGGAGACAAAATCAAGTTACAAACACTCATAGACTCCTTGAATACTTGAACTAATTGAATAAGGAAATAAAGTAAGTACCTATTATAGTTAAAATTATACCATATGTAAAACATTTATCGTATTCTTGTTTGTATATGTTATTAAAACAAATTAATTTTGTATTCCTAAATATTTACAGATTTATTTGGAAATGTATGTCAACAAAACGCTATTATAAGTATCTCGTCAATATTGTAATGGGCAATTCCTTCCCTTCCCTATCTATTTTACAATAGTTTTGTAAGTCCATTTCGTGTTTGATAATAAATCTGTGTAATTTTTTAAATATATGTAACTATATTTTGTTTCAAAATTTGTTTTTTGAACGGATATTTAAATTTTAATTTTTAACTAAATTTCAAAGAACGCAAAATAATTGAAAGAAAAATTCTAATTGAATTTGCCCTAGGAGGGCATAGATTGTTACTCAACTATTTGCTGGTGTTATTCCAAACATCTTTGTTCTAACTTTAGAATTTTGAGGCAAAGTAATTATGAAGTTATGATAAAAATGAAGGTCTTGCATTAAATTCGCGTAACTTTAGCTGAAAAAATAAAATCATCGAATTTTGTAACAAAACTATAAGTTTATGCCTCAATTGTATATAATTTTAATCG